TTTTTTTTTTTTTTTTTTGCTAACGCAAGCAAGTATTGTACCGCGGAATTGGCTGCTCGCGATTGGCCACTCGATGAGCGCACTTTCGTGTTACTAAACGTTTACAGTGTAATCGCGTGTAAATGTGCTGGATGCGTGTTTTACCGATCGGGACAAATTTTTATCCAACACGATCGACTTCGGCGTGTTTTTCTAAGGTGTGCGAAAGTTAATGTACAATAATATAATCAAGTCGCGCGAGCAAAGAAACGTTGCGACGTATTTCTTCGTTCTGTTTTTTTTTCCGTCATTTACATGAAACATCCGGAGTAATTTAAACCGAACCGACACCTCTTGAGTATATAATGTGCTTCTACGCGCACTGATCTGAGCGGAGTCTTGCCTAAAGGGAGAGGAACAGAACTCGCCTTGTTGTCGCCGACGAAAAGCTCATCGCGTCGCTCGTCGCTATTATTCCGTACTCGTATTATTATATTCATCGTCGACTCGCTAATGATGCCATATTTACGCTTGAAAAGCTGGGGCGTGAGCGGTTCGGTCAAAAAGTAATTTATACGGTCCAAGACGATGTTAGGCGGAGAGTAAGAGATCTTCAATTCTATTTTTGTATCTATTAAAATTGGTTTGCGACGAGCTTTGTTATGGACGTCTTACATTCGAAGGCCTCTGGCAAAGCTTATCCGTATTTTTGCACGACCAAATTTGTTTGGATACGGGCGAGTTTTTACTCCATCCAGCGAGAGATCGTTTCACGCAAAACTGTCGCCCGGGCAGCGCGCGCGCGCCCAAAAGTGAGACGTCTAAGAGACGTCATTTGGATGGCTTTCAAACATCATTTCGTAAGCCATTCTTGAAACGTCTCTAAGACGTCTCATTTTGGACATGCTCACTGTTGTGTGTTGTCCGGAAGATAAAACTCGCTCGATATAAATATGACACTTTATTGACTTCGTTTTGCGCTTCGTGGACCGAGTGAGTTTCTGTAACTCGTTTCTCAGACGGCCTTTGTAAGATGTTCGTTATATTAAATTATGGGTGTATTTTAACATCATAGGCAGCTCGTACATTTAAAGATTCTCGTTTCACGCGCGTATCCCTCGTTGATGCGACCACCTAGTATATCTTACGATCTCATTGGAAAATATTATTTTAGAAGTTAATCGATTACACAGGCGAATAATTGTGGGTATTATATGATAGGCTGTTTAGCATAACAAAGTCAACGAGATCGATCTTCGAGGAAGATTCGGTCGCGGGAGAAAGACACGCGGGAAATTCTTTTTTGTTTGCAGTTCCGCGGGATTCGGCACGATTATTTTCGGGACTGATCTTCAGGAAATTCACGTATCTCATGAGCATTAAAAGATCGGTTATTCGACGAAATAATCAGTTTAAATAGAGCGAGCTTCATTCTCTCCCCTTCTTCCCCGTGTCGCCCTTACGAGTTGAAGTATTATTGATAAAAAAAAAGTATATACAAATATTTTTAGCGGGATATATACATACCTCGTATGCGGATTTGTATTTTACCTTACTCGCGACACACGCGATAATAACGGAATAACGGCTCTTGTGGAAGAAATTTTATAAACTTATAGACGCAATGCTCAATTCTCTACTCGGCGAGTTTCGGGAGATCGCCGAGATATATATTATACATATGTCCATATTTCTATCCACAGACACATTTTATATAAAAACCATTTTACTGCCAATTCATTAATGCATATCTATCGAAGTACATACGTACGTATTTCCTTCCAATTGCTAAAGGCACTCTCTAATCCGACGAAAACGTAGAACGCGAAACGCGCGTTCGAATTCCAATTCGAATCGGTAAGCTACAACGATCATGTCGCGTTTATATGCGCTCGCGAAATAAACAGTAATGCTTATAGAGAACTTTCGAATTGTACTCGCGCGACCTCTTTTGGGACACTTTTGTATTTTCATAGTGTTTCGAGATATTGTACAAAGAAACTTGTGTATTAAGAACGTTGTGCGCGACGGGAGTTAGAAAGTCGACTCAAGTGACAAGAGGTCATCCCCTTTTACTTTGTGAGACAAAATCAAGTGCAAACTTATGTTTAAATTAAGAAGTCGCAAACATGCTAGACGGCATTTAACCGTCATCGAAGGAGAGCAGCGATTCTTGAAGAGAGCAGCGATCTACGATTAATTATGTCTGCTCTCTTTAAGTATGGATCACTCGAGTCTCCCAGTAACTCGCGCGAATCCCGATGTAGCACGATTTTCAGATGCACTGCGAAGTAACAGGTGATACTCTCTTAGCGCTAAAGTTAATTATTTAACCCTTTGAAGAGCTATTTAAGAAAGTAACTTATGAAAAAGACCTTGTTTTTTAAGGATTTTCGGGATCGCTGAATTTGATTCTGGCCTCAGAATTTTAAAATTTAAAATTGGATCCAATATAGCTAGCTGAATTTAAAAAAATTAATTAGATTATTTTTTAATTAAATTAATTAAAAAGAATTAAATAATTTGACTTTCATGAATCTGGGTTTTAAGGAGTTCTTGGGATCGCTGAATTTGAATGTCGAGAATTTAAAAGAGTAATAAAATCAATGAAAGAGAAATTTGTGTCGTAGGACTCATAATTAAAGTATTGAGATCAATTACTAACTTTTTGCGTATCATTGAACTTGAAATAAAGCGAAACTGGAAATTTGATGTTATTTAGCAATGTTCTTTAACCCGTAAAGGCTACGTCTCATTTGAACATCCGTAAAGAACCTGAGTGTGAATTCGCAAGTATTTTTAAAGTTTTATATCTTCTGAAAATAAAAAGCAAAATTAAAGCAAAACGTGTGTGTTTTCAATGTAAATTTTCTGACCAATCTGAGTAATATTAAATTTTCAAAGAAAAAAACATAATCGTTTTCAAAATTGCGTGTTAAATAAAACCATTTCTGGAAAAACAACTTTTTCAATAAATAACTGTCGTTTTTTTAGTTTTTAATAAAATGATGCAAACCATACTGAATTTTATTAATAAAATGTTGTATTTTAAGTAAAAAATAATTTTAATTAAATAAAATTAAATATTTTTCCTGGTAGTGGGTAGTTTGGATTTTTTAGAAATAAGAAAATTAATAAAACACGGTTATAAATGCATAAACAATTATTTTATTACTATGTGAGGTTTAAAAATAATGTTTATATTATTTACATAATTATGTTTATGTTATATGTACATAAAATTTAGAAGAATAACTATTTTTATCACTTATACAAAATATTATTATAAATAGATAATCTTGTTTGAAAAATACTTACATTTTGTATAATGAAGCTTTTAGATCGATAATCAGATAAATAATTTCACTTTTCTTGTACTCCCCTATTTCACACACGTATGTGACATGTAGGTACGAATTCGCACCCAAACGAATTTTCAATGTGCCTCAAGCAAAGGCTAAGGCGCAAATAATCCTCGGGACCTTTCTACTTCAAATAATAGAATATACAAACATAATTCACGTAGTGGGGAAAGACCGCCAAATTTATCTGTTCTCAAATAAGTTGAAAATTTATCTGTTCTCAAATAAGTTGAAAATTTTGTAGGTGCAAATTCGCACTCAAGTATCCTTTACGGGTTGAAATTGAATTTTAAAATAATCCGATTATATTTTAAGATTTTGTCAGGCAAATTGGGTCCATTTTCTTAAATTTTGTATTTTTCACCTCAGATTTGAATAATAATTATTTATAATGAGAGTCACATTTGATGAAAATCGTACGAGCGATTTAAAAAATAAAAGCAAGTGGCCAATATAGTAGACGTTCTCGAAGGGTCAAATAAAAAGTTTATTCTGTAAGATCTGCCAAATTTGTTTCGCATTCTTCACCGATTTGGAGCCTTCCGAGCGTGAAAGATAAATGTTTCGTATCTCGTAATTCGGAGTATTGCGTATTACTTGCCGGCGATAGTACGTGGATGATACTACCCGACGTGTGATCCGCACGGGAAGAACGAACGAGAGTTCTTCCGTATTCGAATGAAAACGCCATGCGAGGGGATTACCTAGCGTTCGATCGTGCCGGGCATCGCGTTCGCCAAGCGTAACGTTACATTTTAATTTTTTTTTAACATATATACAAGTTAGCTGTAAAAGAGAATACGTTATTGAACAAATGCGCGCGAATAATACGTTTTTTCTCGGAGAAACGCCGACGTTTCGCACTGTGTTGTTGTTTTTGCGTTGACGGTGTTGTCGAACTTTGCGCAAGCGCTTTTTACAATCGCGAGAGAAAATGTGAGCTATTACCGATAAAGAGAACAGCTTGTACATTAAGTATGTATACATGATATATATATATATTATATAAATATGAAAGTTGTATCTATATTGCGCTGTTGAAAGAAAAAAAAGCGTCAGGTACTTTTTAATTGAAAGATGGACCTACTTGGAGGGCCTGCGAGAATATTTTACCACAAAAGTATAATTAGCGTATAGCTACATAGATAGCGTATATATATTTATCTACGTAAGATTGATATTATTTATTGATTCTCTTTCTTTTTCTTTTACGTGTGCGCGTCGATTTTTCCGGGTGAACAGACAAAAGTGCGAGTAACATTAGAGGCTGATTTGCATTCGACCGTCGCGTCGCGTAAAATATATACACATCTCCGATTCTCATTACTCATCAACGAATCACAATCATCCGCATCTGCATTTATAAATTAGTTAGGTAAATCAATTATCTAGATTAGCATTCACGGTATAAATTCGACGGTATAAATTCATGAA